GGTATGTGTGTGGTCCTCAACTCCGAACAACATTAAACTCAGACAGATGGAGAGAGAGAGAAAATATGGGGGGAGAAAGGAAAAGAGACGTTACGAGTGGAACCACAAAAATCCTAAAAACGACTCTTCTGAAAAGAGCTGTTGTGAGTATAGCACATGCAAAATAATTCCATACATTATAAAACCCCGGGGCTTACAGTTCAAAGACGCCAGATATATGCTTCAACCACTTTCCCCACATAATTATCAGAGTTTCAAAAGACGTGCTCCATGCTAAAGAAGTACTTCCTAGGGTTCGCATTCAGCAACTCGTAAAACCTAAAAAACCACACTTCACTGCAAACCAGCACCTCCTCAGCTTTCCTGGCTGTCTTGAACACAAGCGTTTATGAAAAGTCAGATCTCATAAATCTGCACTAACTTATGATCCACGGAACAGGAATCAGGAATCCTACATATCACGAAAAATATACACACTACCTGACAAAAGTCTTGTCGCCTATCCAAGTTTTAGGGACATCAAATAATAACTTGACTTCTAGTTGATCATTTGGTCTTAGAAGTGGCTTATATTAAAGGCAAAGGCCTCTAGATGACGCTTATTTTACCAAAATAAAATATGATCATGGCTTTATTTTTTATGATTTCATTAGGACAGTACGGTCTGACTTGTCTTAGACAAACGTCTTGTCAGTTAATAGAAATAATGTCCAGTATAGAATATAAAGTCATGCTGCAGTGCAAACAGAGTGAATATTGTGTCTGACTCCATCATGAGCTTGGAGGACTGCATCCATACATCTCTGCACTGACTCAAATCACTGATTAATAAAGTCATCTGGAATGGCAAAGCAAGCGTTCCTGCAGGACTCCCAGAGTTCATCAGGATTCTTTAGATTCATCTTCAACGCCTCCTCCTCCATCTTACCCCAGACATGCTCAATAATGTTTATGTCTGGTGACTGGGCTGGCCAATCCTGGAGCACCTTAAGCTTCTTTTCTTTTAGACTATACTTTTGTCAGGTAGTGTGTATACAATAATCATCTGAGAGATGTTTTATTTCACCCAAATTCCTGATTTTTCCCAAGACTTCGATTTAGGGCTGGGCAATATGACAAAAATACCACATCAAGTATATATGTCTTCTTATATCCAGATAACGACATATATTACGATATGGTACCATTTCTGTAAATTCAATCAATTAATAATGTATGACAACATATAATGTAATAATAACACACTGACAACATTGAAAGGAATTACTGTTTAAACATTCACTCATTTTCTTTTCAGCTTAGTCCCTGTATTATTTTGGGGTCGTCACAGCAGATGAACCGCCAACTTATCTAGCACGTTTTTACACAGCGGATGCCCTTCCAGCTGCAACCCATCACTGGGAAACACTCATTCGCACACCCACTTATACACTACGGTCAATTTTAGCATACCTAATTCACCTTTACCACGTCTTTGGGGAAAACTGGAGCACCCGGTGGAAACCCATGTCAGGACGGGGAGAACATGCAAACTCCGTACAGAAATGCCAACTGACTCAGCTGAAGCTCGAACCAGCAACCTTCATTCTGTGAGGTGAAAGTGCTACCCACTGTGCCACCGCGCCGCGGAGCACTTTTAAACTAATGTTAATATATGGAAAATAATTAAACCAATATGATAAACAAAAGTTAAAAATGACGTTTTCAGATACAAAGTTTAAAGTTTATGAGATGGATTGTTGGTGCATGGGTTTTGGCCAGATTGGGTAACCATATATGAACAAAGGAAAACTAAGACTAGTTTAAAAAAGATTTAAGACCTACAGCACAATTTTTTAGGCCTAAAATTTAGATTTTGGGTTGAAGGTATTTTAAGACTTTTAAAAACTCGGCGGAAACCCTGATAAACAATAGAGTTTTAAATTTGTCAATGTGATATCATCATATTGCACAGCCCTACTTCCCCCAATAACAACACAAAATTTACACACATACAGTTGAAGTCAGCATTATGATGATGAGGATAATGATGATGATGAAACATAAAAGTTTGTCATGTACACAATCAAAAAATATTGCTTAAGGGGGCGAATAATTTTAGTATATATCATATTGCACTATATATCGCAGTATATATCATATTGCACAGTATATAATATATATCATACTGCACAGCCCTACTTCCCCCGGTAACAACAAAAAATATACACACATGTAGTTGAGGTCAGCATTATGATGATGAGGATGATGATGATGATGAAACATAAAAGTTTGTTATGTAGACTTGTAGATCAAAAAAATGTTGCTAAAGGGGGTGAATAATTTTAGTATATATCATATTGCACAGTATATATCATATATCATATCGCACTATACATTGCAGCATATATCATATTGCACAGTATATAATATATATCATATCGCACTATATATTGCAGTATATATCATATTGCACAGTATATAATATATCATATTGCACTATATATTGCAGTATATATCATATTGCACAGTATATAATATATCATATTGCACTATATATTGCAGTATATATCATATTGCACAGTATATAATATATCATATCGCACTATATATTGCAGTATATATCATATTGCACAGTATATAATATATCATATTGCACTATATATTGCAGTATATATCATATTGCACAGTATATAATATATCATATCGCACTATATATTGCAGTATATATCATATTGCACAGTATATAATATATCATATCGCACTATATATTGCAGTATATATCATATTGCACAGTATATAATATATCATATCGCACTATATATTGCAGTATATATCATATTGCACAGTATATAATATATCATATTGCACTATATATTGCAGTATATATCATATTGCACAGTATATAATATATCATATTGCACTATATATTGCAGTATATATCATATTGCACAGTATATAATATATCATATCGCACTATATATTGCAGTATATATCATATTGCACAGTATATAATATATCATATCGCACTATATATTGCAGTATATATCATATTGCACAGTATATAATATATCATATCGCACTATATATTGCAGTATATATCATATTGCACAGTATATAATATATCATATTACACTATATATTGCAGTATATATCATATTGCACAGTATATAATATATCATATTGCACTATATATTGCAGTATATATCATATTGCACAGTATATAATATATCATATCGCACTATATATTGCAGTATATATCATATTGCACAGTATATAATATATCATATCGCACTATATATTGCAGTATATATCATATTGCACAGTATATAATATATCATATTGCACTATATATTGCAGTATATATCATATTGCACAGTATATAATATATCATATTGCACTATATATTGCAGTATATATCATATTGCACAGTATATAATATATCATATTGCACTATATATTGCAGTATATATCATATTGCACAGTATATAATATATATCATATTGCACTATATATTGCAGTATATATCATATTGCACAGTATATATCATATTGCACTATATATTGCAGTATATATCATATTGCACAGTTTATAATATACATAATATCATATTGGACAGCCCTACTTCCCCCAATAACAACCAAAAATTTATGCACATACAGTTGAAGTCAGAATTATGATGATGATGATGATGATGATGATGAGACATAAAAGCTAGTCATGTAGACAATCAAAAAAAATATTGCTTAAGGGGGCAAATAATTTTAGTATATATCATATTGCACTATATATCCCAGTATATTTTATTTTGCACAGTATATAATATATATCATACTGCACAGCCCTACTTCCCCCAGTAACAACAAAAAATATACACACATATAGTTGAGGTCAGCATTATGATGATGAGGATGATGATGATGATGAAACATAAAAGTTTGTTATGTAGACTTGTAGATCAAAAAAATGTTGCTAAAGGGGGCGAATAATTTTAGTATATATCATATTGCACAGTATATAATATATATCATATCGCACTATATATTGCAGTATATATCATATTGCACAGTATATAATATATCATATTGCACTATATATTGCAGTATATATCATATTGCACTATATATTGCAGTATATATCATATTGCACAGTATATAATATATATCATATCGCACTATATATTGCAGTATATATCATATTGCACTATATATTGCAGTATATATCATATTGCACAGTATATAATATTTATCATATTGCACTATATATTGCAGTATATATCATATTGCACAGTATATAATATATCATATTGCACTATATATTGCAGTATATATCATATTGCACAGTATATAATATATCATATTGCACTATATATTGCAGTATATATCATATTGCACAGTATATAATATATCATATTGCACTATATATTGCAGTATATATCATATTGCACAGTATATAATATATCATATTGCACTATATATTGCAGTATATATCATATTGCACAGTATATAATATATCATATTGCACTATATATTGCAGTATATATCATATTGCACAGTTTATAATATACATAATATCATATTGGACAACCCTACTTCCCCCAATAACAACCAAAAATTTATGCACATACAGTTGAAGTCAGAATTATGATGATGATGATGATGATGATGAGACATAAAAGCTAGTCATGTAGACAATCAAAAAAAAAAAAAAAAAAACTTAAGGGGGCTAATAATATTGACCTTAAAATGATTTTTTTTTTAAATAAAAAACGCTTTCATTCTAGCCGAAATAAAACAAATAAGACTTTCTCCAGAAGAAAAAATATTATAGGAAATATTTTTAAAAATTCCTTGCTCAGTTAAACATCATTTAGAAAATATTTGAAAGAAATTCACAGGAGGCCTAATAATTTTGACTTCAACTATAGGTGCAGCTTGATTTCATAGTAACTAAACAGCATCTTTAAGCAGCAGCAGTTGTGATTTCTTAAAGTAGCATCTTCCATCGCTCAAATGTCTTACCTTCAGGTGCAGATGTATTCACCAAGTCAATCTTCAATGACGGCCGTGCCACAGATACCGTTGCCAGGGTCATTAGCAGGAGAGCACCCAGAAGCCACCCTCGGGCGAACATCCCATCAGTGGTGGGCGTGTCTCCACATCCCCCCCTCCTCCTCGGCCTCCCCCTGGACACGGATCCCATCTGAGGGGCTCCACCCAACCATCAACTGCAGGCTGTACGGTCGGTCACTCACTGGAATTCCCACCAATCACCTGGGCTGAAGATGGATGACAGATCAAGGGGTCACCCAGGAGAAAATGAGAAGGTTTAGACACTTAGAAAAGACTGTAACCACGCATACAATGTAGAAAAAAAAAAAAACATTTTTTTTTTAGTTTTTTAGTTTTTGTCATCTCAACTGATGACTGTAGAGAATACAGAATATAGAATTAAACTGACTTAAAATATTAAGTTAAACTTTGTGTATCTTAAAAAATTGTTAAAACTGATTAAATTATTAAAATTATGAATTAATTTAACAAATAAAATTAATTTGCAAGTAACAAAAAATTGTTGTCATGACATTTTGTCTTAGTATTTTTAGTGTATACGCAAACTATAAAACATCAAACTATAGCAAACCCTCAACTCATAAAATTAAAAACAAATCATATTAATAAATATTGCTGCATTGCAAAAAAATGACATGATAAATTAGTCATGACAGCTGATGTTTTTAGTTTGTAACTTATTAAACTATAAGTTTATCATGTTTAAACTTAATTTTTATAAATTTTGCAAGCTGATTTAGTCAACACTGGCTCATTCTGAAAACGTAGTCCCAGTGGACGTTTCTGGAGACCGCGAATTACGTAACAGGAGGTACATATGGCTGCATTTAATTTTTTTAAGCGAACGTGTTGTTTACGTCAGCGGACTTGAGACGCAGCGAGAAGTTGTCCACGATGACGATGACCGGGTTCGAGCCAGGGAAAGAGCGGTTCCAAAGATCAGGTAAGACAAAAACAGAATCCAAAAAATAAAATGAAAAAGTGTACAACAGGGTGAGAATGTGGTAAAATCTGAAAACATGGCAAAAATCAGACGAGGCCTTTTCTTTTTCTGGACGGCTTTTGTAAACCGTTGGTTGGGTTTAGGGAATTAAGCCGATGGGCAGGTCAATCGATTGACTCGTTGCCCAGTCAATCATTCAGACAGACATTTGAGAGACATTTGAGATACAAAAAAGCGTACACTGCGCCCCTTGCGGATTCGCAAAAATACATATCTCCAGAGACGTATTTTGCAGTCTCCAGAAACGTCCACAGGATTAAGCCTGAGCCTGAGTTGGATTTAATTAATTTAAACATACTACATGTTCAATAAACTAATAACGTTACTTTGATTCAGCTCAAAAATTTAAGAATTTAAGGCAATCAGGATTTGTTTTGTTTTTAACAGTGTGCCTATTTTTTGTTGAATCAACTAAACTTTCCACGTTGTCTCAACAAACAAAATAGAATATAGAATAAAAACTAACGAAAAATATTATCAAGTAAAACATTGTTTATTCATTCATTATTTTTTTGGCTTAGTCCCTTTATTAATATGGGGTCGCCACAGGGGAATGAACCACCAGTAATTAAACATTGTAAAACTGAAAAAAAATTGTTTACTTAATTATTATAGATTATATTTTTATTGTTAAACTTAGGTAATCAAATTTGAAGTATCAAAAAAATGTTGTCATGAATTTTTTTTTTTAATATTGTTACACAAACCATAAAAAACGTAGCATGAACCTAAAATTTCTAGTCTCAACTAGGGCTGCACAATATATCGTTTCGGCATCAATATCGCAATGTTATCATTCATAATAGTCACATCATGAGTATACGCAATACTGAGTCTGTATTAAAATTTATCATTTTGAAAGTGTTTTTTGAGGCCTGTGACTGTGTGAGGGTTTGAAAAGCATTCAGGCAGAACAAACTGTAACTTTGACAAATTACTACGAATTCAGTTTATTGAGTTGTTAATAAAAAAAAGATTATGCAGTTTTATTTTACATGTGACTATTCTATTACAGTATACTTGAATACAAATCGACAAATCGACAATAAAACGCTGTTTATTTAATTAGTATACTGTTCTATATTAAATGTATCTATGCTTGTAGATTGTTTCTCATATTTTATGCATGTGCACTCCCCTACAGAATCATCCTAATCAATCTAAAATTATAAATTCTTTCCAAATAGTTATTCAACAAATCTAGTGAAATTTTATTCTTATCACTATATATATCGTAGAAAAAAAAAATATCGCAATCTTAGAAGTTTCCAGCATCGTGCAGCTCTAATCTGTACTTTATTTTGACGGTCCCTATTGCACATTTTTTTGACTATAATAAGATTAAAACAATTAGACAACACACAAAATCTTGCTGCCTATCATGTTGTATCATCTGAACTTTCCTAGTCAATGTTGTCAAATTTGTTATTAAGGTCATAAAAATATTGTCGTCATGACGTTTTGTCATAACACTGAACTCATAAAATGTGAAAAATAGAATAAAATAAATCATCATCATAATAATAATAATCTTCTTGCTGCCTACATTTTTTAGTTGAGTCAACTGAACTTTCTTGGCCATCTCAATTTACAGAATATAATACAGAATACAGACTTAAAATATTAAGTTAAACTAAGCGTAAATAAAAAAAACTGATTTTAAGTTTTAAAAATTAAAGTAACAAAAACTAATTTTCATAGCATTTTTACAGTGCACCACTAAACACTGTAAAAGCACCACTAAACTCATTCATTCATTCCTTCATGTGAAAATCACATCATTCATTCATTCATTCATCCTCTTTCAGATTAGTCCCTTTATTAATCAGGGATTGTCACAGCGGAATGAACCACCAACTTCTCCAGCATATGTTTTACACAGTGGATGATTTTCCAGCCACAATTCAACACTGTGAGAACATGCAAACTCCACACAGAAATGCCAACTGTCCCAGCCGGCATTTATTAAGACTCGAACCAGCGACCTTCTTGCTGTGAGGTGATTGTGCTACCCACTGCGCCACCGTGATGCCACTAAACTCATGAAATATTAAAGAAATCATTATAATAATAATAATCTTCCTGCCTAAAGTTTTTGTTGTTAAATCAACTTAACTTTCCTAGTCATCAACTTACAGAATAGGATATTAAGATATTAAAGACTAAAAATAACTGATGCAAGATTAGATGAAAATATATCAAATTATAACAATTAAAGTAACTTTTTTTTCATATTTACATTGTATACACAAACCATAAAACCTTCAACCCTAGCAACACTGAACTTATAACATGTAAAAGAAATCATTATAATAATAATGCTGCCTACTTTTTTAGTTGAATCTACTGAAATATTACTCAACTAAAAATACTCAAAATAATAAGACTAAAATATTAGGTTAAATGTTTGTGTAACTTAAAATAGTTGAAACCTGATTAAGTTAAAATTAAAGTAACAAATCATAATAATAATAATCTTGCAGCCAAAAGTTTTTGTTGTTGAATCAACTTAACTTTCCTGATCATCTCAACTTAGAGAATAAGATATTAAAGACTAAAAATAAATGATAAGACTTTAATATTTTATATCATTTTAAATTTTGTGCAAATGTTACATTTTGTGCAAAATTAGATGAAAATTTATTAAATTATTACAATAAAGTAAAGAAAAATCATATTTACTGTACATTATATACAAAAATCATAAAACCTTCAATCCTAACAACACTGAACTTATAACATGTAAAATAAATCATTATAATAATTATATTCCTGCCTACTTTTTTTGTTGAATCTACAGAAATATTTCTAAACTACAAATACTAAAAAACATTAAGACTAAAAATATCAGGTTAAATGTTTGTGGTACTTAAAATAGTTCAAACTTGATTAAGTTATTCAAATTAAAGTAGAGACTTATATACTTAAAAAATAAATAAATATAATAGTAATAATAATAATAATAATAATAATCTTGCTGCCTAAAGTTTTAGTTGTTAAATCAACTTAACTTTCCTAGTCATCTCAACTTACAGAATAAAATATCAAAATAGTAAAGGCTAAAATTAAATGATGAGACTCATTATTATATTAATATTATATTTTGTGCAAAATTAGATAAAAACCTGATTAAGTTATTAAAATTAAAGTAACAAAAATCATTATTACCATCACATTTTATTATAGGAATCCTTTACAGTGTATACACAAACCATAAAACCTCCAACCAGCATGAACTCAAGTCTGAATATTTTGGTATCACTTTAATTTGGTCCCTATTGCACATTTTGTTGACTACAATTTACATCGCAGCTACATGCCAACTTATTCTCATTAGAGTATCAGTCAACTGTCTGCTTAATATCTGCTGACATTACTCCACCAACACATTTAACTGACTATAAGAAACTTTGCAAGTACACGTCACAAACCCTTACCTAACAGTCTTATACTCTAATGAGAATTAGTTGACATGTAGTTGCAATGTAACTTAAATTCAACAAACGTGTGGCTCATCAAAGTAAAGTGATAGCAATTTTTCAAATCAGCTGAAGCATGACCTTAAAAACAGTGCGTAGGCCTTGACTCATGAAAGAGATGATAACTAAAGGGCCACATGTCAAAATGCTGTTAAACGAGCCTTGCCACAAACATACCAAAGCTGTGATGCTTTCTACTATCTAACACCTACACACTACACCCGACACACACCTTCATCAGCGTCTGCAATCTTTGGTTATAGACTTTATAAAGACTAATAATCACCCTATTAGAGCAAATAACAATGGTTTGTTTACTGTTTTTTATACATGTATGCATCTTGACAGAGACATGTAAGCATCTAAAGGGATAGTTCCCTCAAAAATGAAAGTTCTGCCATCACTTACTCACTTGTTCAAACCTATTTGAGCTTATTCTGTTGAACACAAAAGGAGATATTTAGAAACATGTTGGTAGCTGGCATCCACTGACTTCCACTGTGATTTTTTCCAACTATGGAAGTTGATGGGTGACCGAAACCAGCATTTGTCAAAATATCTTCATTTCGGTTCAACGGAAGACTCATAAATGTTTAAAACCACATGAGGGAGAATAAAAGATGAGGTATTTTTCATTTTCAGGTGAACTATCCCTTTACAATTCATTGTCTGTCTGTCTGTCTGTCTGTCTCTGCACATTACTTGCATTTACAACATGGCAGTGTAGTACTGATTTACTTAATGAATAAGGCGATTTCTAACGTGAGTAGGAATCAAAAACGCGGGAATCACGCGAACATGCGCACATCACTCTCTGGAGATCTTTGCGCGTAAAAGCGGTATCGATCCGCAAGTACAGCGTGTACTTACATCAAGTTTTAATGCGTATGAGATGATTGACAGGTCCTCTGCAGTATTTACTCGAGCTTATACAGTAAGAGGTGAGCAATGCGGGGTTTGGTGCTGTAAATGTTCGGATTTAAAGCACTCGTTTCTGATCGTACATCATTGAAAATGAACAGGTATGGTAATTAATGCACTGATGTGTGCCATACTACACACATACTGGGGTTGTGATTCCATTCAATTGCTTTACTGTCGAAAAAAAATAAAAAATAGGCTAGCATCCCATTGCATGCTAAACTACACTGCAAGCAGAGATTCTGAAATTTCGGTCAACTACATGCTAATTAGTGTTTATAAGGCATAAAATATGTTTCCAAATATGCACTTCTAGACAATGTGATGTCGCTGTTGTGTGGAGAAACTAATGAGAAGCTATTGTTCTCTTACAAATTAATAGGAAAACTCATTAAACTAAAAGCAAATGTTCTCAAAGTTTATAGTCCATCCATCTCTGAAACTGAGGTATCAGAATCATCTCTAAGTTTCACATCTGTGCCTATAGCTTCAGATGTTGTTCATGTACAATTTCCGACTATGAAACTCTTATTTAGGATAATTCAGATATACTTGAAGGCAGAACTTGAAATCGCGGGACGCATTTTGCGCGTGCTGGAGAGGCAAGGTGTTTATCACCGCCAGGGCTTAAGCATTATTTTCAATAACATTTCTTAATGCATTGCATGACGTCAGCTTTGAAGAACTTTTCTCTCAAATGCATGGTTTTAGACAACTCTCTTCATTTATTTCATTTCATTTATTTAGTTCAATCTGAAGGCGCTAATCAGCATCCATTCACATTCAAATCAGCAGACACAGAAGGGATTTACGGTTCATGCAAAGAAAACACTGATGTTCCACTGGAATCAGCTGCACTGCGTTCTTTGATTACATTTCAATTGTTGTTTAAACCTAATGTCGGTCCTTTATTGCAACCGCAATGAGTTTATCATGATTTTATTACTGAAGTCTAACTAGATCACTTTGTGAACGGCCAGATTTTATCATTATCAACTCTAATCAGTATTTAAATTATGATTAAAGTTAATTATTGCTAGATGGGTTCTTTTTTTTCAACACGAAGATTTCCAAAAGTTTATATCTAGGCAAGGCAATGCAAAACACACTTTTTACCATGCCAAAATAAACTGTATCCAGATAGCAAGACAGAAATGAAGATAATTGCGAGGACTGTGATAAAGGGACAGTTTTTTTTGTAAAAGTAAAACAACAGGTAGGCCTATTACGGTAAAAACACCAACAAAAAAATCGGTTGCTCTTTTAATTCGAATCGGAATTTAGATTTGAGGGTTCTAAATGTGAACGGCTGTGAAATGTGAATTATCACAGTATGCTGTGAATGCATTGTAATCCTCCTTTTTTAAATAACGACACTGGATTAAGATAAGGAACAAATCAGTTGTGGTGATTTGGGTTGGATTTATCAGTTTTATCTTTGAACTATACAGTAATGCACATATAACATATTTTATGAATATTTGTTTTTAGATTAGCATTGCATCTTTTATTTCCCATTCAGTTTAAAGGCTGATTAATCTTTTTTCTCACAGTGCAAGTAATTTCAGTGCTTTCATAAAACAGAAATTAATATTTTAACATTAATCATGTAATTAAAGAAGAAAGAAAGAAACATGCATATGTATCAAGTGAAAATATTACGTCAGATAACCCAAAAGAACCACTTTTGATCATAAAATAAAGTTTTGTTATTTGCAGTTAAGTGCACAACTTTCCCAATTTGTTACCATTAAATTGCAAATTCGTGGGCACTAATTGCGTATTTTAATTTTCACCCCTAAAAACTTTTTAAAAGTTGCATTAATAAAAAGGCTAAATATACGTGCTAAAAGAAACACGAGCAACTTACAGAAAAAGAGCAGACAGCGAATTTCAGGATCCGCATATAAACAGGGAGCTCATGGGCCGAATCCAGACAGGAATGCGACCAAAACTATTCCCTATTCCCAAATCCAACAAGACACCGACGACAGGCTCGCATGCCAGCAGCGACCCACAGATAGTATCCGTTCGTGTTTGCGTAAATCCTTCAAGAGGGAAAAAAGTGACGCGTTCCAGAAACTTTTTTTCGTTTTTCGTCCGCGAACCCTGTATTTGAGTCTTCAGCAGGACGCGCTGCAGCCTTCAGCTATACCCGAGAACAAACACGGAATAAAACATCCATCCCAAAATACACATCCAGTGACATGAGCGCAGTCTCTGAGGATACTGGCCGTACTCGGACGCTTTGTCGGGTTTACGGAGATTTTTTTTCACTCTCTCTCTCTCTCTTTCCAACCCCTTGAAGAAATGTCACTCCCCCCTGAAACTCGAGACGTTTCCTGGCTGATAGTTTTTGGACTCGGTCTTTCTCCTCCAATCACAGCCCTCAGAGCTCCGGCTCCTCCGAGCAACTCAACCAGTTCTGCGCAATCCTGCAAAGTTTGTCCGGAACTGGGGTCTCCCTTTCTCCCTCCGCCTCCACACCACCTCCAGTGCGCTAGCATGCCATTGATTCACTGCAACAGCGCCACCTAGTGGCTGTTAACCTGTTTTTAACCCTTTGGGGGTCTCCGAGACCCCCGGGGCCTTTTAAATTGCATACATAATTGGGCCATGACACTTTCCATTTCACGGATTTAAGGTTTTCAAACTTTCCATCACACAAAGAATGCGTGTGAGCGTTTATGTTGTATTGCTACATCACAGGGTTACAACGATACATGCTGCTGAAATATAGCGTAGGTCAGTGGTTTTTCATCAAGTACCACCTCAGAAAAAAAGTTGTCTTTGCAAGTACCACCATAATGAGTAGTATTGAAATACAGTAGTGTATTAGGTCCAGTAAAGCAGCTGAGGCTCTGTACAGTTCAAAAACAAGCCGTATTAGTTCCTAATATTAAGAACATTTAAATAAAATGTGCTTTTTAAAGTTAAAAGTGGTTAGTTACTGTTCTTAAAAAGTAAAAAAAAAAAAAAACTCCATGTTTATCAGCACCTGGACCTTATAAATATAGGCTTTATGTCATCATATTCATATATAAATCATTTTTGATCATTTATTTAAATTTATTTGGCATGTGCTTATGGCATATTTGATTCATCCACGTACCTCAAGAAGGAAGCCCACATACCACTAGTGGTACTTGTACCACAGTTTGAGAACCACTGGCCTAGATGTTTTGTTTCTAAACAAAATAGTCATTAAATCATAAAGTCATAGAGTGCAAAACTTTCTTTTTTATATAAAAAGAATAGCTCAATATATTTTAATATTAATATTTTAGTGTTTCATATATTTTAATTTGTTTATATAGTCTATCATCAATCAATCAATCAATCAATCAATCTATCTATCTATCTATCTATCTATCTATCTATCTATCTATCTATCTATCTATCTATCTATCTATCTATCTATCTATCTATCTATCTATCTATCTATCTATCTATCTATCTATCTATCTATCATCTATCTATCTGTCTCTCTGTCTGTCTGTCTGTCCGTCTATCTATCTATCTATCTATCTATCTATCTATCTATCTATCTATCTATCTATCTATCTATCTATCTATCTATCTATCTATCTATCTATCTATCTATCTATCTATCTATCGATCGATCTATCGATCTGTCTATCTATCTATCTATCTATCTATCTATCTATCTATCTATCTATCTATCTATCTATCTATCTATCTATCTATCTATCTATCTATCTATCTATCTATCTATCTATCTATCTATCTATCTATCTATCGATCTGTCTATCTATCTATCTATCTATCTATCTATCTATCTATCTATCTATCTATCTATCTATCTATCTATCTATCTATCACATAAAGAATGCATGTGAATGTTTATATTGTATTGCTACATCTCAAGATTATTCAGCAATGCATGCTGCTGAAATATAGCCTACATATTTTGTTTCTAAACGTAAACACAGTTAACAGATTTAAGATTGTTCTTGTTGACAAGTCTAACAAAACAAAGAAAAAGTCATTGAGTGCATAACTGTCTTTTTATATAAAGGAATTGCTCAATATATAACAAATCAAATCACTTTTATTGTCACACACACACACACACACACATGTATATATATATATATATATATATATATATATATATATATATATATATATATATGTGTATATTTATTTATTTTATTTATTTTTTTTTTTTGGCATTTTTTCACCTTTACTATGATAGGACAGTAGAGATTTCAGACAGGAAAGCATTGGGAGTAGAGAGAGGGGTAGGATCAGCAAAGGACAACTAGCTGGGAATCGAACTCGGGTCACCGTGAGCACGTACCACTAGTACCACTAGGCTATTGGCGCCGACCTCAGTATATTTTAATATTAATACTTCAGTGTATCTTTATTCTGTTATAGTTTTTCTCAGTGGCTTTGGTGCATTTCTCACAACACTATTTACATTTGCACAACAGTTAATGCATTTCTCAAAACAGTTAGTAATTTGTGCACATCATAGTAGCAGTTTCTCATTCCTTCCAACACATTGCAGATGCTTTTGGACATGCATCAACTGCTTTCACACGACTCTCTGCTGCTTATAACATTATCATTTGCTTATGTCATATCAGTCAAAATGAGCTAAACCTGTGAATGCTGAATAGTCATTAAATATAACACTAATAGTCCTCATTTCAATTACTCGAGTCACTACATACAAAAATGTTGAACTAGTTGTCAAAATCTGTCAAGCAAATTTTATGCAAAATGTTTAATCTTTATTTTTCCTGAAAAAGTCTTCTAAATTGAACAATTTGATAAATGGTTTACGGACCTGTGTATGTTGTAGGTTCAGTTTCAATATGTACTGCAATATTGTTTACAGTTGTGCTCAGTTCTACCCAAACAACGTTTATGTTTGTTGTAAATAAGGGTGTATTTATTTTTTTGCACAATGCTGTGAATATTGAATTGCAAAGAGCAAATGCAGTATTAATGTGAAAGATACATATTCAGTGTCTTGTACTCAAATACCTCACTACATACAGTGATGTCTAACTTTACTAATAGTGGTGCAAATAGTATATAGTGCTGTCTTGAGCATTTTTTAAGAAGTGTCACCAAAATCTGACTTTTTTGCATTGGAAATAATGTAGAGTAAACTTTCATAATGAAAACATGACAAAGCCATTTGACTATCTTGTTCATAAAAAATTGTATAAAAATTATCTTTTCATCTTGATGACACTGACACTTTCATTGACATGTATATTTGCTTTTGAGGAATGAGCTCTCCATTTTGAGTAAGTGACACACTTTTGTAGGTTATCAACTAGATTTTGCAGTTTGTACAAATTATTTTGAGAAATGTATTATCTGTTGTGCAAATGTGAATAGTGTTGTGTAAAATGCACCAAAGCGAATGCACCAAATTGAAAGCGACAGAAATGTAAACACAAAAGAAGATACTTTGAAGAAAGCTGAAAACCGGTAACCATTGGCTATCATAGTAGAAAAAATATTACAAGTGAATGGTTACAGGTTTCCAACATTCCTCAACATATCTTCTATAGTGTTCGACAGAAAAAGGAAACACACAAACAGGTTCGGAACAAGTGGAGGATGAGAAAATGATGACCGAATATTTATTTTTGGATGAACTATTCCTTTAATGCACTGTGCAAAACAATTAGCAATTTCCTCAGTGCCAACCACACCACATATTAACCACACGCTTGCATACGGACCCCGTCATTTTCCCAGCATTGCTATCTGTGGCTCATGACGGACTCCCCCATTGAGCGCTCAGTCTCCCAGCATTCACACTGGGAGCCTCCCTAATCAATGACCCCTAAATGTCAGAGAGCGAGGGCCCCACACTCCCCTCCCAAAGCGTCTCCTCCATTGGACGGGCCCTTGGAAACTAAAGAGAGCCGGATTAGGACAGGAGGAGGGCTGAATATGCCTTTCCCTCTCTCCGTTTTCCCCCCCTTCCTCATAAAAGATCCGTCCCCATTCAGTCGGAATGAGCCAGCTAATAAGGCTGTTAAAGAAAAGCGAGAGGTTCCTCAGTGAATGGGGCCTTCCATCACGGCTTTTCTTTCTCTTTCAGGGCCAGATTCTCCAGCTCGCTCTGACACAGTGAAGCCATCAGCACCGTCTCCCATAAAAGGTGACAGTTTGGATCGCAATGAGAGGGAAGCGCGAAAAGGAGGGGACAGGCCGCAGGTTTAGGGGGTGCCAAATAAAGGACGGACTATACAGTCTTTCACGCGTCTCCCCATCGCCTGTCCTGGCCAGATTTACATTGTTTTTATGGCTGTCTTACAGGCCTGCCACATTTAGCAAACACAATGGGACAGCCAGTGAGAGTCAGGGAGAAAAAGACTGTAGTGAAAGAGGAGGGTCACGTCTCTCTGTTCTCTTACTGTCCTGCTCATCCGGCTGGAGATGTTAGGATCTGACCAGCAGTGTAAATCACGGGCCATGTTGATATTTGCAAGCCGTTTGCATAAACGTCGATTTAGCATCGCTTTTGCATGATCACACTCCTAAAGGGTTAGTTCACACAAAAAAGTATTTACTAACTATTTACTCATCCTCAAGTGGTTGCAAACTGTTTCTTCATGTTGAACACAAATAAAGATGTTTGTCAAGAAAAGCTGAAACTATTGACTTCCATACACTCTCAGGGCCTACTCACACTATGATTTCCAAACCATGCCCAAGCCCATTTCCCGGATCATTTGAGAAGTGTGAGTGCTCTGAGCTCGGTTCACTTTGGCTTTGACGCGGTACGCTTGTGTGAGAGTGCAAAATGCGCCTGAGCCCGAAACTGAAGATGACACGTGACTTTTAAGGGACTGTTTCATATAGATTAATTAATCATTCGTACTGTTCAATGAACACAAACTGTCATAGGTTATTTAAGACGCAAACCTCTCACTGCTATGGAAGAATCATTTTGCTTTTCTGTTAACTTTTCTGTTAAAAAGAACCATTTTCATGAGTTTGAAGAATAATTTCTCACGGAATTTTGTAACTTTTTGATTTAGTGGCTATTTCATATGAATTCATATGATCTAATTCAGACAAGTCAGTACCATTTGCTCATCCTCCAATGACCATTGGATTTAGGGAGGGGTTTGGTGCCACACTTCCTTTTTAAAATTGAACAGTATTGTAAAACAAAACTTGTACTAATTTGTAGAAAATTAAATTGACAAATCTAAAAATGTTTACGTTTCCTAGTGAGATTAGGTTGATAATTTCAATCTAAGGAACCTATTTTCACACTTCCAGCTCAAATAGTTGACAATACAAGAAAAAGATGTGGTGTTAGTGAAACCAGCAGGGGGCACTCAACCTGCAGTCTCTGTGGGTCCTAACGCCCCACTATATTGATGGGGACTCTAGTCTATACT